CCCGTCTCGCTCCCCTCCATCTTCCCTCAGCCCCGTCCCCACCCATCCCGTCTCGCTCCCTCCATCTTCCCTCCCCAACCCCCGTCCCCACTCATGCACCTCCCGTCTTGCTCCCCTCCATCTTCCCTCCCCACCCCCGTCCCCACCCATGCGCCTCCCGTCTCGCTCCCCTCCATCTTCCCTCCCCAGCCCCGTCCCCACCCATGCGCCTCCCGCCTCGCTCCCCTCCACCTTCCCTCCCAGCCCCTTCCCCACCCATGCGCCTCCCTCCCCTCCCTTCCTTCCCCTCTCTCTTCCCTTCCCAACCCTGTCCACCTCCACATCCATCTTCCGTCCCTGACAACGCATGCTTTGTCTCGCTCTTCCGCGGCACTAGCGACTAAACGAGAACCCAAGCATCGGAGATGCTTTGGGGAACAAGAGGCCCGTAGGTCTTCAATGAAAAACAAAAGAAAAAGACCTGCTCAAGGGCTTCAAGAGCTACTTGTCCAAAGATCTTCCGATGGCCCTGTGTTCCTTCCAAGAACATTGCCATGAAGAAAGAGGACCCCGGGTCAAAAGAGATACTCGCAGCATAGTGATCAAATGGACCAAACGCGGCCACCGCCCGCCTTTTTCCTGTTGGATTGGAACACTCAGGATAGTATTAAATGCTCATATTCAGCCCGCCTTGTATTCAGCCCCGCCACATCGGTCCCGGTACTGCCACTGTGTTGAAAAGCTGTCCAGGGCAAACTTCCCCTTTCCCAGCACGATCCTGGGACTCAGTGTTTGCCCTGCTACTCAGTACTTTTGTTTATATACCCAGCCAGACCGTCCCATGGGACTGGCATAATTACATATATATCATACATTTAACCCCATGTCTGACCCCGGAAAACATCGGATAACTATGATCGATATGACCCATGGATTCTTTGGAGTCCCATCGAACTCGAGGCGTCGAAGTACCGGTCCAGGATCTTGTTCCGACTCTGAATCCAAGTCCAACTACATGAGAGGGTAGCATGACCCTCCAAACACCTGCACCATCCCCAAGCAGGTGAGCTATTGGATGCCTGCCCCCAGAAGAGCACACCAAAAAATTAGCACCCATGAAACCGCACCCAAAGTGTCTGGATCGTCCTTTGCAAACGCCCAAGGCGCTTGCGCAAGATCCAGGTCGTCGACGTTGAACAGGAGCAGAATCCTCTTGGAGATCCTCGACACGATTTTGCTCGTCGGTGGGTTGTTGTGTGAACATCGGTCAGCGAACGGCAAACCGCTGGATGTGTTCTTCAAAAGTCCTGGAGCCGCCTGGAGCGAATGATTTAAGGATTGGAAACGAGCAACTGCCAAGACGATCCGTGGACCCTCCATAGCAGGAGTCTGGACTCTCAAGACCCTTTCCATTCATTTTAGTTCGGGTCTGGGACCCTTAGGGATCTGTTCTGTTATTCATCATTTGACTTTGACCTTAGTATCCTTAGTCAAGTTCAAGCTGGCTCGTTCCCCATCAAATGGCTCGCTGTGGTGGAGAAGAAAGCCATTTTCCAAGTGTGGAATGGACGGAATTCTTCGCGTGGTGAGGAACTCCCTCTCTTGCCCCGTGGCTCGAACATCGGACCCTATGGAACCAGAGGAAGCCACCGGGCCTGAGCTCGTTTTCTTCGCAGGGGACGATTTGCTAATATTCATGACGATGGCTCTCGAGATCATCAAAGCGCTTATATAGCTCTCTTTGAGGCTACTAGGGGCTCCTGGCATCGCTACTAGGAGCAGGAACAAGAAGCTACTAGGAACAAGGACGCTCTCCAATCCAACTCTCCCTGCCTCTCTCTTGGCCCACGACGGAGCTTGGAACGCCGGATGATCAAAGGGTGCAGCTGATGACAATAGGTGCAGCGAGCACCCTTCCTTGGTCGGAACCCTAGTGGTGGAAGAGACCTGGGAAGAACTATAGAAAAGCGCTGCAAATGTTGGAAAAGTCTTCCTGCCTCACTTGAACCCACCTAAACGCTACAGTATATGTCGTGGCACACAACTGGGGCTCTCGGACTCTTTTGAACGCTTTTGGTGATGCACTTTGGTGGCTCTTGCATAGCATGTTGTGAATCCGACTCTGTTATGCAGTCAAGGCCAGCCGGGGAACATCAAACCCATGTTGGATTAAAAGGACCGGCTTTCGGGCACGGCGTGAGGACCGTGAAGGTGTTTGCATGACCTGAGCACCGTGTGAGAAGGATGGCAAGCATGTGGAGAACAACGAGAAGGAAAAGGAGAGGGAAGAAGAAAGGTGGAAGTAAAAAACATGCTCTAGTTTATTGGAAAGGGCGACAAAAGCCTATGAGAAGTTGCTTTCCCCCCCGGGGGGAGACCAAATTAATGGGGAGAGTCGTGAATAGAGGGTCTATGGCCTCCCCCTTTGGGAGATTAACAATTGTTGGCTAGGTTTATAGATGTTCTTTTGACAAACTTTCTGGGAGTGGCCTTGGAATTCTGTGAGTTTGGAGGGCTTGCGTGCAGGTCTTCAGAACAGTGCGATGAAAATCGGGTCCAGGTGCTGGAGAACTGAGTGAGGAGGCTGAAGACATGGATGAGTCGGATGAGCTGCTTGAGAAGCATCAAGACTACACAACATGGGTGATGAGCATCAAGACTACACCTGGGCAGTTGCTGCGCCATGCTGCGCATTTCCGCCACTTTGGCAGTGAATGCGCAGACTGCCAAAGGTACGCGCCAACAATGAGCCAGCAGGAGCAAAATGTGTGTTGAAAGTTTTGAAGAAGGGGTGCTAAATTGACTGGCAATAGGACCATGGGATGAGGGATTGATTGGTGAAATTAAAGGGGTTGAAGAAGGAAAGAAAGGCGGTTAGTATCGTTAGTAACGCAAAAAGAGGCCCCAAGACAGGTGGACCAAACTAATTGGGAACGTCATGAAAGGCGGTTGTTATTGCCGGAACGAGGCGGACCAAACTGAGAAAGGGGATATACATATATATATATATACAATATACAGTTTCTTAATCCTATCTGTACAGTATTTCATGTAATGACATGTTCACCACTGACTCCTTTGCTGAATCATGGAGACCGGAATCTTGTTCATTTTCAATGTCTAGGAGACCAATGTCTAAACTCCAAGCCATTTGTCCGGTTCCTGGAAAAACGCCGCAAAAGTCATTTACGCCGGGCATCGGACATCCTGTTTGAGACTGATTGAAAATACATGGTCGGCATCTGCCATTGCTGTGATCCTCCTGACCTGGAATCACCGCAAACGCAGCGTTTTTCGATCGTCCAAGAACGCGGTCCAAGGGGGTCAGAATTGGATGGAGGTTGGAGAGAATACGAGACATGCCACTGAAATCAGCAAAACTCAGAAATGCGGCGCTCAACTTAATTGAAGCTTTGAATGAACCATGCAGGCTTTCTCTTGGTTTACCCATTGACCCAGAGTTTTGCTGTGAATCCCGTACATGATCAATATGCCTACATCCCAGTACATCCCCACAAATTAATTGCTATATGCATCTGCATGTGTGCATCCAACAGTTTTGGACCCAGTTGTATATTGCATGCCGTGTAAAGCCTGCTGCACCATCTTTGGAGCCAAGTCCGGCCAAGTCCGCTTCGATGGATCCGACAAAAAGGCACTTTACCCGAGCCACATGCCAAGGAACACAAGAAACATTACAAGGGACACAAGAAACGCCAAGTCGAAATGCCCCGGTTGTCGTGTTCCTTTGGACCAAGCCGGGCAGGGTCATTTCACTGGGATTTCGGTTTGACCGATTTCGGTTGGACCGAATCAGATTCCATCAGATTCTCCCCAAGCTGGTCGTGCGGAGCACAGAAGACCTAAACTTTGAGGTGTTTATCCTAGGAGTACCGGACTCTCAGAGTTTATGCCGTCAGGTCACTAGTGGAGGTGTCGCCTGATCCTGCCGTCGTCCACTGGGACCTGGAGTCCGCGGACCCTGATTGGCTCTCTTCAGCACGCGAATCACCCGAGGTTGAAGCTGCGCTACGAGCCACGGGTGGCTGTAATTCTGACTCCAGCGAATTCAGCTGATGGTTGAGCCGTAGCGGGTCCTTGCCCTGGTCCGTTGCCTCTTCCATGGCAAGCACTCGATGGCACTCGAGTGCTAAGCTCAATTTAAATACAAATACCAAGCGATCACGCACTGCTCGTTAAATGCCCGTTCTTGAGCCGAGAAGCCGGGCCAAATCGGATACGCAGGACATCGCAGAACATGCAGGACAGTGGGTAATGAGTGCACAAGCCAACACGAACAAACCAAAGTAGTGGATCCTCTTTACCACTATACCGTACCCACTATACTACCTTGGGTTCTGTTGGGATTCACCTCAGGTGTTTTTGGGTGTTGAAATCCTGTTGAGCTCCCAGGCCCAGTTGAATGATTTGATTATGTTCTTGAAACCAAAGTACTCTCAACAGATCACCTTCAGCGGACTCCTTCGGAGCTGTTCAGCACATGTCCTCGACTCAGGAAGGTTTTTCGACATACTTGAGCCTCATGCCTCATGATTACCAGACTTCACCACAGTTTATGCACTCTTCAATGTTACTTGACCTTTGACTTGAATTTTCACTGCCTTTTGATGAACATGACCACAACAAACCCAACCTCCTAATGTCCCCAAGGTTGGAGTTTGACTAGCAGAAGTCTCTGAAGAAAAAATGATTGGTGGCAGGGAGGGAAACACAGAGTTGAATAAATTGTAAGTTCATAGTTCCATTCTTAGCTCCCATCTTCCTTTCATTTCCTTTCTGAGGCACCCAGAAACACTCGTACGAACCAGAAAATCAAAAACAGCAAGATCGGAACACATCCGATCTGATCCACCATTTCAGTATCCTTTCGAAACATGGATTTAGCTGTCCGGTCTGAAATGAACCTCATGAACCTCTCTCATGGTCTGGAAAACGACGGATCACCCTGATCATCGGATCCATGTCGACCCCACAGCCGCAGTTGCTCACCCACCGCGCACCTCTTCGCCGTCGGGTGGATCGCCGTCGGGAGCCTTCGATTGACCGGAGGAGACGGGGGGTCTCAACCGAACCGAAAGAAGACGAAAAAGCCTTCTTGATACCCAGACACGACTAATGGGACTGCCATATATACCTACATTGGGGTGGTTTTGGGGGTCAATGTATGCATATATGGCAGTCCCATGGAGTGTCTGGGATAGGAAATAGGGGGCGCGATCATTGTCACTGAAATCACCCTAGGGATCCAGGAGCATCCTGAGGATGTCCTTTGGACTCAAGACCATTCTCTACCGAGAAGCAAAACACTAACAATTTGTAGGCTCCTGGACGAAACATCGCGTTTTCAAGGGAAGAGATGGAAAGCATGGTCTTTTCTCGAAAAAGATCGTCTTTTGGTTAAAACATGGTAAAAACATTGTAAAAACCACTGAAGAACCGCCCCGGCGACCACTATCACAAACACCAGTCAACGCCGGATCTGGCTTTCAGCGTGCCGTGGTACCTCAATGGATCCACCAGTCACCTCAATGGATCCACCATTCTTCCGAGTCTTCCATCTGTCTTGGTCATTGAAATAGACCTTTTTTGGTGACAGTTGGAGGGCGACTGGACGAAAAACATAAAGAACACCGTATTTATATGTATTGATCCCGTACGGTACGGATCCCGTACCTAACCCGTACGAACCAATACGGAACCCATATGTTCGATCTGCCCCAAAAACGTTGTGTTTTGAGAACCCAATTTGTGAGTTCTTGGGCTCATAGCTGCATGTTGAAGGCTCACTTTCGATCCGGGTGAAAAGTGTTCTTGGTGAGATCGACATTTGGTGACTTGTGTCCAAAATTCAGGTGCGTGCCGTCAGGTCCAAAACACACATGGCTTGGAACACATCTTTTTAATGTACTACGTTTTCTTGGTATCTTGCTTCCCGAGGTATAGAAGTACTTTCACCTCCAAGACCATCCTCAGGAGGTACCTGGACCCTATGGGTCAAGAAATGGGCGATCACAGAGTCGTGCCGTCGTGCTGGTTCGCTTTTTCAGTTCGTTGTTTTGATCGCCGAGCCTGGAACATACGAGTCTTGTGCCATTTAGACCTCCCAAGTGATCACCAATCAACTAGCCTACACTAGTCTTGTGGATCAAGTACGAATCCAGTACTTCAGCTTCAAAGACCCTCAGGCTTGGAATGGCTTGGATTTGCTAGTTCCCTGGAAACAGAATTGTTTCTCAAGAGCCGACATGCAGCACCCTGGCCGTGTCAGGTGACTTGTGCGTATGAGTATGGTTTCGGTATACGAGCACATGGGTGTATGGTTTCGTATGATCGCAAAAGCCCCACCAACATTTGGGGTGTTGATACGATGCAGAATAGGGGTTCATGAGGGATGAACTTTCAACTATATACACAGCATTCCAAAGAAACCAACTCTTCCTGCCTACGTTCCCGCTGCGTTTGCTGGGCCAGACCGGATGGAAGCGTCTCGGTATGTTTACTCCTCCAGATCCGGACAGTCCGGCTGACCAGGATCTCGTTTTCTGTTCCAAGAAAAAAAATGTCTGAATCTTCATCGTCTGGATCATCCAAATATCAACAACTAAGAGAAGCGTACCAGCGCCACCCAAAGGGTGGTTTATAGAACCCCTGAAGATGTATGTTTCATCCAGTAACCACCCTTGGGTGGTGCTGGTACATAGTGACTTCACCAAGCATGACGACATCCTTCAACACTCTCCTCGCCTCTCCCTCATCGCCCTCCCGGTGCATCCGGCGTCGTTTCTCGGCGACCTCCAGATCCGGAGGGCCGTGGGCCGTTCGTTATGGCCACGTTCCGGCCAAAAACATCTGTAGCAAGTTGTGGCATGGGATCCAACTGGGGAGGGACCTCTATGTGGCGAAAGTGGCCCCAGCATGCATGAGGACAGGAAAGAGAAGGCCTTATTGTGAACTGTAGAAGCACAAACGATTATATATATAACCTATAATTATTATATGGATGGATTGATGATAAATCCAGAACCAACAAAATATGTTCCACCAAATTGTCGGTACTCTAGACTAGATCCCATATTTGTTGATTGTGATATTCATTCTGTTGTTTTTGTTTGTGTTCTTTTGTACTGTTTGGTTTTATCTGGGCTGATTGGAAGTTCTGTTGTGAACGTAAATGTCAAGGCATTCATGTATCATCAACTAGTGCGATCCACTATGAACACGAACAACCCGTCTTTGTGTTTAAACAAAACACACACACAACAGGAAAAAACATGAACTGGAAGAAACGAGCTGGAATCCATGATCAAATTCCACGAACAAATGACTTGGATCTTGTACACCTGACCAGAGTTGGATCAGCTCGTTTCTACTTGGTGATATATACATATTATATATAATACTAATATAGTGTTCAGGGTTCTTATTCATTCTCGTTCCTGCACCCAAACTGGGCGCCTTCGCAGGGCGCCCGGTGGCTGAAAACTCATTCGGCGCGAGCGAGTTCGGCGAGAACGTCGGCGCGAGGGCTTCAGGCGCACGCCTCGGAGCCCATGAGGATCGGCTCACACCTGGGGCGGGGCCGGGCGTTTGTGGCGTGTTCGACCGCGTTTTCAACGGCCGAACAAGATCTAGAGAGTCCGGGTTCCAAAGATGGTCGTCTCCAGGTAAGAATGAATGTGTTCTGTGTCCTTTGTTGGTCTGATCCACATGGGACAAACTGATCAGATCAGTTGAGCCCGCAGGTTCAAGTAAGTTGAGAGGTGGGCGGATCATACCCTCGAGCAACATGGGGCCGGCTCCGTGGCGTGTGGGATCAATCGGCTATAGCCCTGTGAGCTGCCCCAGAAGCTTTTTCCAGTCATGGGAATTCTCAGTCCAAGCCATCAACCAAATAGCCTGCCAGACACGCTTGATCAAGCTGTGTCTACCGGCACCTCTCACAAAATAGAAGGTGATTCCAACTGACGAACTTGTTGACCATCAAGGCACCCTTTGGCAGGTGCCACGCATGCGAATTCCTTTTCGATGCCAGCTAGTGCGCATCAGAATCAGAAGTGCTGGATCTCGGATGACACCCAAATTCCGGATCAAAGGCGGGTGGAACAAACATCAACTGACCGGACCGACCAGTGGTTCAAATTTTACTGGATCAAGGAACCCCCAGGACCCCTCCATTCCATAGCTTATGGACCATCCGTGTAGATTCTCTGGGAAATCCCAGATGGGGAATGGAAAATATTGAAACATCACCTGAGACACTGAGACACTGCATCCATGCCGAAACGTGAAGTTTTGAATAGAACAATAGTGTCACAAGAACTCTAATTTTGACACACAATTTTATCCAAAATGGTCCAATGGAATTTAATTTTACGGTTTGCATATAAGGATAATGATTTGATATGTTACATGTTTGTTTCAAAATTACAACTAGTGATTTTGTTTCTTTAATATGTATATATATATACACACATATGTAGGATTGGTTTCAGGGTTCTCGGCTGATGGGACTAAATTTGTCTGATCTGGGTGCCCTCATCCATAGGAATTTCCTTCCATAGACTAATAGACAAATGTGTTGACTGTCTCCCATTCAATATATATATATATATTGGACATCTATGGACATCGACATGACGTCCACCGTCTCTTTCTACGTGCCTCCATGCACCGCGTTCGTCCACATGCCCAGTCCGCGTCCGCCCAGGATCTCGTGCAAGGTCTTGCAAATGTCGGAAAAGGTCGTCGTAAAGTTGGGCCTGGGTGCCGGAGGCCGGGCTGTTTGACCCGGTTCTGCAGGAGGTTGCTGGGTCCCTGGGTACAGTAGGCTTGGTCCGGCTCATAGGCCTGACATTCCAATCCCATATCATATATCATTGGAGTTTCAAGGGTAGTTGAATTTTTTGGGGTAACGTTGTATGTATACTGTGGTACTTCCTCCAAATTATCCCGGCAAGAGGCCCCAAACAGTGTGTGTGTGTGTGAGGTCTAGAGGTGTAGCAGCAGAAAAGTCTGATCTAGACGCATTGGGGTCGAGTGAGATTGAGAATGAGAGAGTGAGAGTGAGCGAGAGTGAGTGAAAGTGAGAGTGAGAGTGAGAGTGAGAGTGAGAGTGAGAGTGAGAGTGAGAGTG